TTTGGTAAATATCATCTTGTGAGTTAGTAATAACAATTAGAAATTTTCAACCTATGTATTTATTCATATTTTTTATTAGAACAATGGCAAAACGTTCAAACACGAATGAGTCTCATGATACAAGTAGTAGCGAAGATGAGCTCCAGATAGACGTTTATACAGATATGTTAGAAAGACTCTAACTGTAGAAGGTTTTCTTCTACAGTTAGTCTATCGTTTTGATAGCAGTGACAGTGATATCGTCCAAGCAACAAGGCGACGAGAGAAAGAGTTCGCATAGATAGTGATTGCAACAACAAAACAAAATTATAAAACAAACAATAACAAAATTATAAAAAATAAAATATTGATTTTTTTGCAAATTTCTCGATTTCAGCCAATTCATAAAAGTCCAATATCATTATAATATGTTAGTTAGTTCCAAAACCATACTAAATAATACGAGGGTCTGTAAATGCCCGTTTCTGCCGAAAAGTGGCGCTGAGTAGCTGGTAGCCAACGTCCAGAATGGTTCGGGGGGAGTGCTAAGGGTTAATATTGTTTTTAATGAAATAAGAAAAGGTATTTTTGACCATAATTCCGTGCCCTTCCGGCAACTCTGCACACGATTCCGTGCTCCGTATTTCCGTGTTTTTCTTTTTTTTTCATATTCACGTGCGTGTATATTTCCCGTTTCATGCACGGTTTCTCAAATGTTTTGGATGAAAATGAAAATTTATATTAAAAATATAAAAATATGCACGATTAGTGCTCCTTTTATCACTATCCTTTTTCATTCCTAAATGAAACCCTCTTACGACACAATATGCGTTTTATACGATGTCTCACTTTAATAATTAATTTATACAAAAATCCTCGGCAAGGTTTTTGACAAGACATACTACTTAAGTTCCTCAGAACTGCTGTAGCATCTATTGAAAAATGTTTATATTTCATTTTAACATATGAAAAATGTAATACTCTTCCCTGGATCTTACATGTTAATAGATAAACATAAAAAAGAAATAAATCATTAATTTATATTCAGGGTGAGGTACAAATCAGTTCCCACGATTTTTCAGCCCCTCCCGATGCTCTTCCAAAAAAATATTTCGTATAAAAGTTAATTTGTATTTAACCGACAAGAAATTGCAATTGTATAAATGTAAAAACAAATTGATTTTCGATATAAAAAAAGCAAGATCACCGTTATATTTTTAAATGAAACTAGGTTATTTCAACTTCCTAATACTGTAAACCAGGGGTGTCAAACTCGCGGCCCGAGATGAACATTTTTGATGTCAAGTATCAGGACGTAAACAATAATTTAACTTTATATATGTTTATTACAATGTACTAGTCAAAATAAAAATATTTGTATCTATGAACATTGATTTTCTTTTTTGCCGTCCACCTAAAGTTAAGCATTGTTTATTTATTATTATGGCCCAAGTTAGCTTTTGAGTTTGACACCCCTGCTGTAGACGACTTCGTACGTATGCTCGTACAAATGAGCATTTGTAATGTTTACGTTCATTTGTTTATGTTTACATGCGAAACATTGGTGTTATGTATCGCCGAATTATTTCAGATATTGTGGCAATCGATTCATGACAATTTTTCCATCAATGTCATTCGATGGTCATCGTGTAGCGTCTTGTCGTCGTCTCAACATCGCTTATAATATTGGGTTGGCAAGAAAGTAATCTCGGTTTGCACCAATAGATAGCGTTATGTTTGCATTGTCATTCTTTAGTGACACGTTTAGGTTACTATAAAAACAAATTCCGCGCAGTTTTGTTTACAACTGATAGTTTGCTGTCAATTTTAACTAGAAGTGCAAAAATGAACATTTTCGATACATTTTACTTTTTTATTCTCGTGAAGGCAAGAAAGCGGCCGAGGTTCACAAGAAGATATGTGAAGTTTATGGCGTCGATTGCTTAACAGAACGCACGTATCAGAATTGGTTCAACAAATTTCGTTCTGAAGATTTTTCTCTTGAAGATGACCAACGTTCTGGTCGACCTTCTGAAGTTGATGATGACAAAATCAAAGCCATAATCGAATCGAATCGTCGTATAACTGTACGAGAGATTGCAAAAAGGTTAAATGTATCACACACAAAAATTGAATATCACATAAGATGCATTGGACTTGTTAAGAAGCTCGATGTTTGGATTTCGCATGAATTGAAAGAAATTCACTTAACACAACGAATCGGTATGTGCGATATGCATTTTAAACTTAATGCAATCGAGCCTTTTTTGAAACGAATTATCACTGGCGATGAAAAGTGGATCGTTCACAATAACATTAAGCACAAACCATATCGAAAGCTGAATTGCATCAGAACAAGATTATGCTGTCAATTTGGCGGGGTTATAAAGGTATTGTGTATTTTGATCTGCTTCCAAGCAACCAAACGATCAACTCAGATGTTTATTGCCAACAACTTATGAAATTCGAGGAAGCAATCAAAGTGAAAAGGCCAGAGTTGGCAAATCGCAAAGGAATCGTGTTCCACCACGTCAATACGAGGCCTCATACATCTTCAGCAACACGTACAAAATTATTGGAGCTTGGTTGGGAAGTGATGTCGCATTCACCATATAGCTCCGACCTTGCATCAACAGATTATCATTTATTTCGAAGTTTACAAAACTTTTTAAACGATAAAAATGTCAATATTAACGATAGCCTCAAATCGCGCTTGGTTGAGTTTTTTACTGATAGGGACCAGAAGTTTTATGAGCGCGGAAGCATGAAGTTACCAGAAAGATAGCAAAAGGTCATCGAACAGAATGGAAAATGTTTGACTAATTAAAGTTCATTTCTTGTATAGAAAAAATTGAATTTTATTTCACATTGAAATACCGAAATTACTTTCCTACTAACCCAATAATGCGAACTTAAAATCGCACAGCTTCATTTAGAAGCTTCATTTAATTTGTTTTTAAATTTAAACGACTACAATCTCTTGTCGGTTAAATACTATTTAACTTTGATAGGAAACATTTTTTTGTCAGAACATCGGAAGGGACTCAAAAATCGAGGGGACTAATTTGTGCATCACTCTGTATAACACTTTTCTTTTTCTATACGTTTTTAATCCGAGGACACGAAAATTGGAACGAGCATGAAAACTGGAACATCTACCCTAGTTATTGTGCGCGCGGGAGCTCACTTGTCTGGCAAACGGAATCGTCGAGGTCCTCTTTGCTCGGGAACCTTTCCCTCAGCTCGTGCAGTCCAAAGTCGGCGATCTTTAGGACGAACCGCGAGTCAACCACGCAATTGTACGAGTTCAAGTTGCCGTGGCTCTTCACCTCAGACGCGTGCAGGTACGCCATGCCTCGTATAATGTCGTGTATCAACGACACTCGAAACACCCGATCCAGTTTGATTCGCTCGTCCACCAACACGTCCTGCAGCCGCGCGATTATCGTTATTATGCCGACTCGCGCGACATCGTTATTTTTTTGTAAATCTTAGAGAAACTAGTTCACTATACAATGACCAAAATACTTTTTTTCTAAATTTGCTATTATTTGGAATAAAAGAAATGTAAAAGAACTCACGTTTTTTCACTTTCTTGTCTGAGTCTATTATGAAAGTTTAAAAAATGCGTTTGATACATCTCGGTAACATATACAGGGTGTCCCAAAAATGTCTCGCAATCTGAAAGTGGCGGGTTCCTCGGGTCATTTGAAGCAACTTTTTCCTTTATAAAAATTTTCTCCGAGGCACCGTTAACGAGTTATTAACGAAAAACAGTGACCAAT